TTTTGCTTGTTTGTTTAGGGATGTGTGTGTGTGTGTGTGTGTGTGTGTGTGTGTCTGTGTCTGTGTCTGTGTCTGTGTCTGTGTGTCTGATGCTGGGAATTTAACTCTGGGCCCCATGCTCTACTACTGAGCTATCACTCTAACCTCTAAACAGACTTGATTATTTATTTTTAAAGACTTATTTTAATTATGTGCATGTGTGTATATCTCTAGGAGTATGTTCATGTGAGTACAGGAGCCCATAGCAGCCAGAAGAGGATGTCACATCTCCTGAGACATCATGGTTCTCCTCCTGTGCTGCATGACAAGTTATTTTATTCCTCCTGTCCAGTTGTTCCTTGTCTGTTGTCCATCTGCCCTCCGTCTGCCCCCCTTATGCCCTCTTGGGCTCTAGTGTCCATTATTCTATTCTCTAGTAGTTTCATTTTCTACATATACAAGGTGGGTGTGAGCTGAACTGGAGCCTTTTGGAGAAGTATTATATGCTATTAACTGCTGAGCCATCTCTTCAGCCTCATTCCAGGATATTTTAAAAGAGGCTTTAAGCTAGGCATGGTGGCACACACCTTTAATCCCAGCACTCCCAAGGCAGAGGCAGGCAGGTCTCTGTGAGTTTGAGGCCAGCATGGTCTACACAGTGAGTTCCTGGAGAGTCAGGGCTATATAGAGAGACCTTGTCTTAAAAAAATAATAATAATAGAAACTAAAAAAGAGAGAGAAGAGAGAAAAACTTTAAAGGTAAATCTTGTTTACCCTAGCTCTGCCCAAAACTCAAGTCCAAGTAGATCAAAAACCTCAACATAAATCCAGATACAGTGAACCTGATAGAAGAGAAAGTGGGAAGTAACCTTGAAAGCATTGGCACAGGAGAGAGACCACTTCCTGAACAGGACACCAATAGCATAGACACTAAGATCAACACTTAACAAATGGGACCTCATGAAACTGAAAAAGACGCCATCAATAGGACAAAATGGCAGCCTACAGAGTGGGAAAAGATCTTCACCAGCCCCACATCTGATAGGGGGCTGATTTCCAGAATTATATAAGGAACTCAAGAAATTAGACATCAACAAACCAAATAGTCCAATTAAAAAATGGGGTACAGATCTAAACAGAGAATTCTCAACAGAAGAATCTCAAATGACCAAGAAACACTTAAGGAGATGTTCAACATCCTTAGCCATCAGGGAGATACAAGTCAAAATGACTCTGAGATTCCATCTTGCACCTGTCAGAATGGCCAATACCAAAAACACAAGTGACAGATCATACTAGAGAGGAAGTGGAGCAAGCGAAAGACTCCTCCATTGCTGGTGGGAATGCAAACTTGTACCGACACTTTGGAAATCAATATGGCAGATTCTTAGAAAACTGGGAATCAATCTACCACTAGACCCAACCATACCACTCCTGGGCATATATCCAAAGGATGCTTAATCATACCTCAAGGACACTAGCTCAACTATGTTCAAAGCAGCTTTATTTGTAATAGCCAGAAACTGGGTACAACTTAGATGTCTCTCAACTGAGGAATGGATAAAGAAAATATGGTACATATACACAATGGAGTACTACTCAGCAGTAAAAAAAAAAAAATGACATCATGAAATTCGAAGGCAAATGGATGGAACTAGAAAAAAATTATCCTGAGTGAGATAACCCAGACCCAGAAAGACAAACATGGTATGTACTCACTCATAAGTTGATATTAGCTGTAAAGTAAAGGATAATTGTATTACATTCTACAGACTCAGAGAGAATAGGTAACAGCGAGGGTTTAAGGGTAGACATCCCAGATCTCCCTGGGAAGGGGAAATAGAAAAGATTTTGTGAGTAGACGGAGGGTGGATGGGGATGGGAATATGAGCAATCAGGTTGGGGTCGGGAGTAGACGGGAAGAATACTAAGGGGAACTGCTGGGGGGAAGGCATTTTCAGTCAGGTGGAAGCCTGGCTCAGGGTAATCCCCCAGAAGTCTATGGGGAGGATCCCAGGTTAGACTCCTAGCACTCATGGATAAGTAGCCTGAACTGGCCGTCTCCTGTGACCAGCTTGGTGCCTGGTCCAATTGTCATCAGAGAGGTGCCATCCAGCACCTGATGGAGGCAGATGCTGAGACCCACAGCCAAATGGGAATTTGAAATCCTGTGAAGGATGAGGAGGAAGGAGTGTAGGAGCCAGAAGGGTCAAGGACACCATGGGAAGGCTCACACTGCCAACTAACCTGGGCTTGTAGGGGCTCACAGAGACTGAACCGGCAACCAGAGAGCCTGCATGGGACTGACCTAGGCACTCTACATATATGTTACAGCTGTGCAGTTTGGTCCTCTTATGGGACTCCTAACAGTGGGGACAGGGGTTGTCTCCAACTCTTTTACTGGCTTTTGGAACCCTACTCCTCATACTGGGTCACTTTGCCCAGCCTTGATACACCGGGAGGTGCTTAGTCTTACTGCAACTTGTTATGCCATATTTTATTGATACTCAGAAGACCTGCCCTTTCCTGGATGGTGACAGAGGAGGAGTGGATTGAGGGGTGGGAACAAGGGAGGTTGGAGGGAGGGATGGGGAGGTGAGGAGGGAGGGGAAACTGTGGCCATGATGGGAAAAAAAGTAAATCTTGTTTAATTAAAAATTAAATAACATTAGATGTATTTTATTGTATTGTATGTATGAAATGATATTCATAAAAATTAAGTAATAAAATAAAGAATAAGAAATTAAATGTCTTTCTGTGGTGGTCTATGTCCCAGATAGGTGGCATCTCTACTACGAAGAGACAGAAAAAGGATAAGGGCATCATGGGTACCACCTCATTCCTAGAGCCCAATGCGTGTGAAAATAGCAAAGAAGAAAGAAAGAAGAAACAGTAACAGAGACTCCATCGCTTCACCGCAGGGGCTCCGGGCGCCGGGCTAAGCAGCTTATCAACGGCTTACCTGCTATTTCTCCACAGCTAAGGAAACTGGAGGCCCAAGCAGTTAAGGAACTCTTCTGAGGTAACAGGATGACAAACGACAGAGGAAGAGATGGAGCCCCGTCTGATTCCCAGGCTCTTAACCATTCTAATGAGACCAATAAACTACTGTGCTTTAATTGCAGCCATAACTTTTTAGCTGCACCTCTGAGGGTGAGTCAGGAGGTACAGGATGCTGGGCAGGCAAGGACAGGCCAGTGATTTCTTTATCAAGGCAAAAGGGGAGAAGGCTGGTCTAGTCCCGGCCTCCCCTTTCTGCATAGCAGGAGAACGCCTGGCCTCCCAGACACAGGAAGAGGAAGGAGAGAAAGGACTAACATCTCAGGAATGGTGGGGTTGTGGGGACGGGGGGGAAGGGAGGCTCCTGTGGGGCAGAGAAGTTGAGGGGAATCCTGGGGGCTTTTGACTGCTCATCACCTGTGACTCAGAGAGGGGTCACCAGAAGAGTGACCATACCTCCGCAGAGCAGTCACCTTGGTTAAGGGGTGGAGCCAGGTTCTCATGAGGGCTGGGCCACCCCTCAGCGTCCCTCACAAGTTACTTTGTGTGGCTGAGTTGCGGGGTGTGTCAGGTGCTGGGATACATGTATGAAGTGGCATCTTCTGGAAATAGGCACGGTGACCCTGTGGTTGAGGCTCAGGATGGATCCAACACCAAGCCAGGGACCAGACAGAGGGGAGGAGAGAGACCAGTAAGGCATGTAGGAGGGGAGGGGTCCTTGGCCTAATGCTGTTTGTGAGTAAGGCCTAGACCAGGCTCGCTGCTGGAGAACTCACACAAAGGGAGGCAGAGAAAGGTAACCGATGTTATCCAAAGGCACCCGTTGGCTTTTGTACAATACTACATTTATCAGATGGAACTTATTCAAGATGTTTCCTTCCCTGCCCTAGGCAGGGCTGTGAGAAGACTAAATCAGTATGTTCCCTCAAACTCCCTCTGAGTTTCATGTGGCCTCATGAATGACGCTGCTGTGCCCCTGTGGACTATGTATCTGAGCACTTGGTGCGGTATGTACCGCACTCTGCTAGGTCCGTCACAAGCACGACCTTACTCTTTCTTCTCAGTAATTCATGGGCAGAAATAGATACCCATCTGTCTTAGTCCCTGTTCCATTACTGTGAAGAGACACCATGACCACAACAGCTCTCATAAGAGAAAGCATTTAATTGGGGCCTGGCTTACAGTTTCAGAGGTTTAGTCCATTATTAGCATGGCAGGAAGCATGGTGGCAGGTATGGTAGGCATGGTACTGGAGAAGCAGTTGAGAGCTATATCCTGATCCAAAGGGGGAGAGAAAGAGACTGGGCCTGGCATGGGCTTTTGAAACCTCAAAGCCCGCACCCAGTGTGTGCCACATCTCCTAATCCTTCTAAATCTACCAAAGAGTTCCACTCCCTGGTGACTAAGCATTCAAATGTATGAGCCTATGGGGGCCATTCATATTCAAACCACCACGCCATCAAAACCACCTGTGTGACCTTGAAAACGTTCCTTAACAGAGATGAAGAGATGGCTCAGCAGTTCAGAGCATTGGCTGCTCTTCCAGAGGACCTGTGTTTGGACAACCACCTGGGGTTGTGACTCCAGCTCTAGGGGAATCGGACGCCCTCTTCTGGCCTTGTGGATAACTGCACACACATGACATATGCACATAGACACATACATACACAGAGCTTTTTTAAAAACATCCTAAAAAATAAGAAAAAAAAAGAAGCTGACTAATGTCTCCAAGCTTTAGAGTCTCATCAGATGCAGATATGAATCCCTGCCTGGCAGAGTATCAGATACACAGAAGGCACTCAGTAAAAGGCTACAGATTCTGTTAACTGGTTTTCTGAACACAGGAAGCTAAGGACAGGGAGGTGATTGGGGTGGGGGAGGGGCCATCTCCAGAAAAAAAAATGAATAAAATATGACCTCTAGACTCTACAAGAATGCAAGGGATCTTATTCAGAGTCAGGGAAAGGGGGGTGGTCATGCTTAAGGGGATAGGAGTCTTTCCCCTCAGAACACAGACATACCTGAGAGCCGCAAGGAGCCACGGGAAGGAGAGATGGGCATGCAGCAGTCTCCAGGTCGTGTGTATCTTCAAATCCGCAGTTTCTTCCTGGCCTACCGTCTTCTACCCCTTGTGGATTCTCTGGGAGGAACATGTTGGTTTCTAGGCCATGGTGGCCTTCTGGGGCTTGGATCGTTCCAGCCATGTTCACTTCATTAGAGCGCGGGATAGACTGCACAGAGCTGAAGCTGATTCTCAAGAGCAAAGTATCCTTGTGGGGCATCCACGGGGACTTGAGGAGCTCTGTGAGATAGGAATGGTGCCATCAGGTTCCTCCTGGAGAAATCAGGTGAGTGATTAAGGAGGGAGGGGTGGAGGTTCACAGCTTCACCAGGGAGCTCCTATCTCTGAAAACGCTTCAGGCACCCTGGCCATTGCTGGTGAAAGACAGGTTCCCTGCTGTGCAGAGGGTCAGCAGGCAGCTAGGACTGTGCCCAGGCAGTACAGTGAGAGGAGACCTGCATTTCAGGGCTTTGCTTCAGACTCGGAGCCGTCTCCAGCTCTGCACTGCGAGAAGCTATTTTTAAGTGCGAAACTCAATATGTCACAGAGAAGGGAGGGGGGATGGTGAAGAGGCTGAGGCTAGCAGGCCCTGAAAGAGACTCACATTCCCGGGAAGGGGAAGCCATTGATTGGCTGTTGTTGTTACTCAGAGCCCCCAGATCTCTACTTTGAGCCCTGAAAACAAACATCCACCTCTAGGCTCAGAGCTGTGAGGGTGGAGACTGATCACTTACCCTGCCTTTCATTCATCTTTCTCTGGCTTGATAAATGATATGTCTAGAAGTTTAAGGAGAATGCATCATGGTATTACGTTTAAAAATCACAAAAAACAAAATCAAAAGCAAGGCAGGTCCTCTAGAATAGCAGCCGCCCTCCTGACTGCTGAGGCCGAGCCATCTCTCCAGGGCCCTAACAAAGCATTTGCTTAGGTTTTCCATTCCTCGGGGGTCTGGAGCCTGCAGGGCTGTGGCCAGTGCAGGCCAACAAATAGGAAAAGAAAGCTGGAGCCAGTGGGCAATACCAGATGTGTCTATAGCATTTTATTTTCTATTTTATTTGTCACAAAGGAGAGAGAAAGCTGGAGAGAGGGAGAAAAAAATCTGTGGACGAAGGAATCTAATCTACACGGGCATTTGAAGCCAGGCTGTCTTGCAGTTAAAGAGAAAGCCACAGTAAGACCCAGAAAACCTCTGATTCCAAGTGAATTTCATAATGAGAGAGGGGCACCTGGGTGAGATTTCCCGACAGCTAATAACTGAAGATGAATAATTGAAACACTTGTACCCATGTGTTCACATTTCTCTAAACCATTCCCTGATTTTATATATAGAAAGATATATAATTTTATTATATATCTAGAGAGAGAGAGATATTAGACTTCCTTAATTTTTTTTCTTGCATGCGTGTGTGTGTGTGTGTGTGTGTGTGTGTGTGTGTGTGTGTGTGTGTTTATGCACGTGTTGAGTTGACAAGTATGTAGGGAGGCCAGAGGTCAACTCTGAATGTCTTCCTCAGTCACTCTCCATTTTACTACTTCTGAGACAGGGTCTCTCGTTCAACCCAGAGCTTGCTAATTCAGCTAGACTGGCCGGCCGGCAAGTTCCTGGGATCCGCTTGTCTCTGCCTCATTCCCCAAGTGCTAGTGTTACAGACTAACATTGTGGAGCCCCACTTTTAAGTGGATTTGGGGGACCTGAACTTAGATCCTCATGCTTACACAACAGGCACCTGACCTTCTGAGTCATCTCTCCAGCCCTAGAAGCAAAGGTAAATGGGGCCTTATGGAGGCAAAAGGAAGCCTAGGCACCTCCATGCTGGGTTCTCTGCCTGTGTGGGCAAACTTCTGTTCCTTAGCACTCTGCCCACTCCACCCATTCAGGTAAGACCTAGAATGACAATGGGTGTATGGGTACAGGCAGCTGACCAGTTAGAGCCTGGCCATGGGTCTGATCTGGTGCCAGTGTGTGTGATGGCCAGAGGTGACAGTATAGGCCAAGCATGGTGGAGGTCCGTAGAGAGCAGCTCACTATCCCTGGAAGGCTAGAGGGACCAGGCCTCAAAGGATGCTTCTGTGATTTAACCCTTAAATATCCCTTACAGGCTCATGTTTTGGTCACTTGTTCCCAGTTGGTGGCATCATTTGGGGAGCCGTGGATCCTTGAGAAGGTGGGGCCTAGCTGACAGAAGTCATAGCAATTATAGACCTTTGGAGGTGATACCCAGACCCCTGGCTCTGACCCTGCTCCCTGCTTCCTAGTCTGACACATGTAAGGAGCCTTCATCAGGAACTTCCCCAACCTTCCCAGCATGCCTTGCCTGCCGTGATGGACTTAACCATGAAGCCATGAGCCAGGATAAATCTTCCTTCCATGCAATTGTTCCTGTCAGGCATGGTAGTTCCCACGATGCCACACATTCTTTCCTCCTTTCTCTCTTTTTAAAATGTGCATTTATTCATTAGTTTTTGTGGAAGGAGTCACACACAATACACTTAAGAAGTTCCAGTCTCTCCTTCCAAGGGGTGGGTTCTGGAGATTGCAATCAAGGCCTAGTGGCAAGCACCTTTACCCGCTGAGCCATCTTGCCAGCCCACTTTCCCCCTCTTCTTCCTTCTGCCCTTCAAGACCTTTGCTTGGGCCGTAGTTCCCTACTGTGCTCCATGCTCCAGAGCTCTGCCACAGGAGGACTGCAGTGAGGGCACAAATGGGGATAATTAGGGACTCAGAATGAGGGGAGGGAACTACTGTGATTCCCACCCTGTGGGCAGAGAGGAACCCAGCTGACCTTTCATGCTTGCAGATCTGAATCCTCTAAGCTTGTTTTAAAGGGGTGTCTCAAGGCCTTGTCTTGCTTATTGCTGTGGAATGACATACTGAATCTACATACATACATGCATGCATGCATGCATCCATACATACATACATACATATAAAAAAATAAAGTCAATCAAAAGAATTACAACTTTGGCCAAAGCAACAACTCCAATGGGCATTCTTACACTCCACATTGGGTGACTAGAACCCACTCCACTCCCCATTCCTTCCAGAACACCTGACCACTTGTCTCTAAAAGGCTTGGGTGGACTAAAGCAGACTTGTGTCTCCCAGAATGATGCCACAGGATTATTGGTGATACTGGAATATTTGTTTATTTTATTTTTATTTATTTATTTATTTATTTATTTTTTGTTTTTCGAGACAGGGTTTCTCTGTGTAGCTTTGCGCCTTTCCTGGGACTCACTTGGTAGCCCAGGCTGGCCTTGAACTCACAGAGATCCGCCTGGCTCTGCCTCCCGAGTGCTGGGATTAAAGGCATGCACCACCACTGCCCGGCGATACTGGAATATTTGTAAGTAGTAGGATTGAGGCTGATAAAATGCAGTTGGTGAGTGTTATTTGGAAAAACTAAATAGTTTCACATGTCCCCCAGAAGGAGCTGAGACTCTTTGGCAAACTGTTTCAGTTTGAAAGAGGCTTAAAGTAGCGCCCCAGGGGACATAAGCTGCTGCTGTGGTGCTGGGTATAGGCGGGCTCTGCCCCAGTGCTCCAGTTTCAAGGAAAAAAAACCTGCTTCATTTTGCTCCTGAAAAGGAGGTGGGATTATGTAAAGGTACAGGCTGTGTACAGTCATCATCCAGGCCGATAACCATCATTCGGTGCTCTTCCTGGCTCCATGAAAACTCTAGGGCATATCAGGACAGACAGAGAGCTGGACCCTGTGCTTCCTATGGTAGAGTCCTTCATTCCACAGGAAATGTTGCCCTCCCACCCAACCATCCGAGAGATGGAGAGGGGTCTCACAGATACCCAATCTGCCTAAGCATTAGTTTATTATTTTTTTTTAATTTAAGAAATTACGTGTTTTGTCTGCATGGATGCTTATGCAACACATGTGTATCTGGTGCCCACAGAGGGCAGAAGAGGGTGTCGGATTCCCTGAAACTAGTTACAGACAGTTGTGAGCTGTCATGTGGGGGCTGGGAATTGGACCTGGGCTGCTGGAGGATGTAAAACCTGCACCCTCAACTCCTTATGAGTTTGCTATCTTGTGGGTAGTCAGGACACTCTGGGCCTGAGCTAGGACTTCCCTCCTTCTAGGGGAGGAATGGCGGCAGAAGGATAACCCAGGCACACAGAGGCTGAGACTGCCCTGGAGAGGCCTTTTGAATCAGGTACCGCAGGCTGGGGAAAGTGACTGTGATTCTGGTGTCCCTTCTTGCTGTGAACATGAAGTCTATGAAGCTCCCCAAGCCTTGGTCTCCAGGGAAACCCTGGGAGGTGCCGAGTTTGGCTCCCCAGACCACTCTTCATGAGGATAGTGGGCCACCCCAGGGGAGCTGTTCAGCAGTGGGCCGCCTGTGCTGTGTGGGGAAGGGAAGAGACCCAAGGGAACATATTGTCTGCATTTCAACAGTGACACCATGTGGCCCTGAGGGCAAAAGCAGACCAAGCAGGCCAGGGTCACACTGTTGAACTAGGTAAGCATCCTGGGTAGGGTACAGCGTTAGAGCTATCCAGTGAAGAAAGACTCTTTCCAAGTTGAACTGGTGGGAGACGCAGAGTGAAGGAATCTGAGAATTTAAGAGAATATAATCTCAGCTTAAACTTCAAGTTAGGAAATTATTCCACGGTTGTACTTGGGGGGTGGGGCGGGGTTATCACCCCGGATTGTACGGGGCATTGAGGTCACATTGTGAAGATGTCCTGATGCAGGAGGACAGCTACCTTCCTCTGCTCACCCTTGCTCCAGAAGAGACCACTTTTCATCTTATTATTGTCGTGTCAGTCAGTGGCCCAGCGACCTCATAGGTTAGTCAAGACTAATCCTGACTAATTGCAGGCATCAAGAGACAAACTAGAGAAGCTTAAGCACCAGCAGCAACGTCTAGTTTCAGCTAGTTGGGAAAGCTCCACGCTGACTCACAGAGCAGAGTGGAGTGGAGCGTCAGAGCGCTGAAGACGGAAGCGGCAGGACTCTGTCCTATTCACACCTGCAATCCCAGCATCAAAGAGGCATTTATTAACAGGCTCGGATCATCTCACTTGAGCAAGGTGTCTGCCCTGCGCCAATCCCAGTGCCAGGGAGATGACATACTAAGATAGACTAGTCCTGGTCACACCCTCACCACCCAAGGGAGAATGATGAGGACGCTCACATGCTAGACACAAACACTACATTTCAGCCCATTATGCACAGGTTGAGACCCTCAGATTCTTGCAATATACCCTTTTCCCCCTGGTCTTGAGGACTGAATGTAGGCCCTCAAACACGGCTGGTTAAACACTCCTTTCAATAAACTTTTTTTTCTTGTTAGTTTACGTGTGTGTGTGTGTGTGTGTGTGTGTGTGTGTGTGTGTGTGTGTGTGTGTGTGTGTGTAGGTTTGTACGCATGAGTGTAGGTGCTCACAGAGGCCAGAAGAGGCCATTAGATTCCCTGGAACTAGTTAAAGGTGGTTGTAAGGTACTCTGTATGGATGCTGGGAACCAAACTCATGTTAGAGATGGGTCTGGAGTCCCAA